CTAACTGATGAACAAAGAAGCACAGGAAAGACTTAACGTAAAAATAACAAGTTAATCAAAATAAAACTTACAAGGTCTCATTTTGTAATATCTCTGTCGGTGGGTTTCAAAATGTAAAATTTAACAGAGTTCACAGGTGGCCAGGTGGATGAGACCGCTAAGCACTGGTAGTTCGACTGAGGTTTATATTCTGGTGGCTAGGCTCACTACTTGAAGTCTTCGCGGTCTTCCTTGGTGTAATGTAAAATACGAGCCAATTTTGCCTTAGAGAATTCTCTACAAGACATCGTTTCCCTCGGGCAGCTAACCCATGCGTGCATTGATGTAATCTGTTAACTAATTCTTCACAAAATTTGACTTTCATAATGCCGATTTCTAAACCTGGTTCACCTACTTTTGGTTTACAGGAACAGTTTTAAAATTTTACTTCAAAATAATTATTAAGTTTCGTTCTTGAGTTCTGCGATATAAAACCAAATGCAATTGGTATTTATTTCAATTTACTGCGCAAACGATATTGACTTTTGAAAGAAAAAAAAAAAAAAAAAAAAAAAAAAAAAACTGAAATGTTTCAGATTTTAAATTACGTCCAAAGGGACGTTTTTTAACATTTTGTGTGTTACCTTTCTTTATTAAATATCATGTTCCTCCATAAGATCCAGTGCAACAGCAATATCGCAAAATAGTTTTAAAACGAGCATATCTTTAGAATTTCCGATGCAGAGACTCACGCGCTGGAGATAAAAATGTTTTTTCTGCACAACGTTGCCATTGCTCGCTTTGAAATCCTTGAGTTTGTTAATCAAAAATTCGTCAAAGTTTTAAAAAATAGGAAATCGATCATAAAACAAAATTCTAATTTCAAATTTGGTTTTTCACATGCTCATATTCGTTGGAGGATTACGTTAATCAAAATTCGATGACTCTATGTACCGTTGTTTTATCACAATACGAGAAATATACATACATTTATGCAGATTTTTCATTATTTAATTTCTTCAAATATAATGCAGGACTCTAACCTTTTGTGGCAACAGTTTGAAAAGTGAACCGACATTTATGAGTCCGACGCAAAATGCCAAAACGAAACTAATAGTCCTTCGGGATTCAAATCCTTTGGACTAAAAAAAAAAAAAAAAAAAAAAAAAAAAAAACGCGTTTTGAACAATTCTGATGTTGTGAGGACAAGACGAAGAGAATTCAATTTTAAATGACAAAACTTATTCTTTGTTAAATTAATATTGTAAAGAATTCTAAAATACAATAGACAATTTTAAAGTTGACCCAGTTTCCAGTGTGCATTCTTTTTTTTTAACTCTTTTACAGTTGCCACTTACAAAAATCTAAAATGTGTTATTCACCATGAAAATTACTGCAGATTACTTTGTTAAGGATTCTTTTAATTTCCAGACAACTTTGATAAAGCGGTTTCAAACTTTATCGAATTCAATTTACTGCGCAAAAAATAAAATTCGGTTTTAGCTACGAATAACAAGAACTTTTACACCAAATACTGGTTATAAATCAAAACTATTCTCAGTCTACGTTTATTTCAGTGAACAAAATAAGGAAATGAAAGTAGTGTAATTCATTGCAACTTTTTATTATTTTTTGACTGAATTCATATATTGAATAAGGACGTAGTTTTAATTAAATTTGGTACTTGTTATCTTTAGGATTTAAAAAAAAAGTCTATTCATAATTCTACGATATGTGAATTTATTCATGCGACATGTAAGAGTGAGATTTTTGAATTTTTGCAAAGAAACTTTTCCTTTTTTGTTCGCTTGCTTATTGAAAACGCATACAATTCCAGTTTTGAATTTGAATAGCTGATTACGTAAAAAGAATCACGTTTCTGATCTTGTAAAAGTGTTTTCCTAATTCGTAAACTTTTAATTATACAGATAAAGCAGTTTAATTTATTTCCCATATGCATTCAGTGTCACTACTTCAGCATTCATTACTTGTGCATAAAATATGAATAAACGGGCAATTCAGCTTAAATGCATGAGTAAAAGACATGACGCCTCCCATATAAAAATTAACATTTCTTTTTACATTTTTCTTTTTACTCAGAATGCCTTTGAAAAATAAGACGTAAATGCATGACTACTTTTTTAAATTTAATCTTTAGCTGATTGATATGGTGGAATTTTTATGCGTAATTGGTATGACATATTTTTTTTCGAAACAGTAACTAGAATTATATAAATTCTTTGAACCCTTTGCGAATCTATGATCTGCTGTTCATTGAAATTGATAATTTATTTTATTTTAAGACAAAATACCCTTAAAATTTTCCCTGAAAAATGATGAATGTAGAAAGATATACGTGATCATCTTTAGGTAATTCAAATAAAGAAATTTGACTTAATGCCGAAGGGTAGGACACACTGAACATAGTAGTTCGAGGTTCGAATTTCGCGAACGAGCTGGCTGCTTGGGCGTTTTCGTGGTTTTCTCCTTGTGCAACGTGTTAATACGAGCCATTTTACCTTAGAAAGTCCTCCACCAAGGTATGCCTTCCTTCCCTGTAGTGCCTTAGGGCGGAACACGTAAATAATAATAATGCCGAAGGGTAACATTACATCTATACTTAACATTTTCTATGGAATTAATGGGTACTTTGAATTGTTATCGTGAAGGATCTGCTTATAGCATTTTCTTCGTTATCGCTATGATCAGTACCACATATACTCCTAAATAAATTGATTTATAAATCCGAAAAATCAAACTTTGAATTTTACGGGCGTTCAAAAATACGATACTTCAAAAAAAAAAAAAAAAATTGTTTTGTTTTTTGTTTTTGTATTATTCTAGATACGGATACAAATACATGCTTTAGACGTTTGTGTAGGTAACTCTTATTCTTATTATCGTCTTTTTAATCGATTATTTATTTCCTTTTTCTTTAATCTACAATTATCACTTCCTTTTCAATCAAAAGAAAAGGGAAAGGTTTTGACTGTGACAATTTTAAAATATGGGATACAGAAACTGCACTTCTACCTTCTATCAGCTTATATTTGAGACCCTCGCTCATTTACAATGCCTTTACAGGATTGTTATTGTTAACTTTAGGATAAAGAAGTTCTGCCCAGTGAGGGTAGCTTTGTAGCCCAGTGAGGATAAAAAAACTTTTAAAACAGTGCATCACAGGTACAAGAACCGGGGGATAAGAAAATTTCAATTTTATAGTTGATTATTTTTATACCTGTTTTATTGAAGCATTGCATGTCTGAACGATAAAGACATGGTTCACAATACGTTAAAGGTATGAACTATGAAAAGCTTTGAGAGGTACAAGTAGGATATTTTGGTTCTAAAAAATCAAGTCTTTTGCCAAACTGAGTTTTAGAAGCTGCGGAGATAAGTTTAATAAACGGCCATTTTTCTATCGATTTGGTTTTTGGAAATTTGAACTGAATAAATGGCTGAATTTATTAAATAGTGAGTTTAATAAGCGTTGAGGACTGTATACTTTAAAAAAAAAAAGTTAGAGCTTGTAAAGAATTATTGCATTTCTTCTTACGAGCTGTCATGCGAAAGTGGCTACCACATTCAGATAGCCTAAAAGATCCTTGATTCAAACCTCGGAGAAGGCATGTTTGATTTCTTTCTTTCTTTAGCTCCGAAAAATCTGTTTCGGAGTTCGGAGTTTAAGAGTTTCCACTGTGGGGCCCAAATTAAAATATAGTTCGACAATAATGTGTACTACTTTTATCTGATCGAGTACTTCTCTCCAGTAGTATTTTAAGTGAGGAAGAATGCACGGAATAACTGCATTCCACTCGTACGTACTCTGGTAATATAAGAGATAAACACATTTAAATAATTTGGAATATCCATGGTTCGAATCCAGGCGAATGAACTAGCCACATGGTTGGTTTTCGTGGGTTTTCCCCTTATGTGTAACATAAATACGAGCTAGTTTTCCCTAGAAACCTTCCATGAAGGCATCCTTCACCTTAGGAAGATAGCCCTCGTGTGCTTTGCCATATTTGAATAATCTAACACAACCAAATTATTTGTCGCATTGGTGTGTGTGTGTTTAATTATGGCAAAGCACTCTAGGGCTATCTGCCTAAGGGGAGGGATGCCTTCGTGGAGGACTTTCTAAGGGAAACTGGCTCGTATACACGTTACACATGGGAAAAACCACGAAAACACCCATGCAGCCAGCCCGTTCGCGGGATTTGAGTCTCGGACCGAAGTACCAGTGTTCAGCGACTTTACCGCTCGGCCGCTGGTGGGCCCTATTTGTCGCATTAATAACAGAGTAGATAAGGCAGTTGAAAATTGGTAGGTCAACATTTTAAATCCAGTTTCCTTCGAGCAGTCTAACTGCATTGAAGTTTCTTAGTTTCGCATGTGCAATGTGATTACGAACCAATTTTTTTTAGAAAGTTCGTTATGAAGGCATCCCTCCTAAGGCAAACAAAACTCTTAAGGCAAACCTTACGCGTTCTTTGCCCTATCATTTAACCAACTAGGAAATTATTCAGACACGCAACTGAAACGACCATGGAATAAAATTAGTTACATTGCACCAAAATTGAACATCTGAGGTCTTGTAAATTCCTGCTGAAGTCAGTGCCTTTTATGTTCAAAACCCGCCTTACAAATATGTTCAATATTTTCAAATAATACGGAAAATTATGAATAATTCTCATATTATGGAACGCGAATATATACAACAAGACAAAATTCTTGTATTTTGACACTTTTAATGCTCGAAACCTACGATACTTAGTTTCCTGCAGCAGTTCGAGATATTAATGCGCTGCATTCTTTCCGTCAGAGAGAACATTCTACTGATTCTTTTATTTTGTAAACAAACATCACTACTTGCTTCTATTATGTAGATGTATGATAGTCTGCATATGACAAAGCATTTATTTATGTAAAATCTACGTAGTCTTAAAAAATAAGTTTAAAAAATATAAAAATTTTAATTCGAGGTCACTTGCAGTGAAGCGTTAGATTTATTTACCTACGTAGAAAACTACTCGAAGGAATGAAAAACTGGTTTAGAAATAGTTTCGTAACTTATCTCCGGGACCCATAAGCATGAAAACGCAAACTTGGACGATGGTTTAAAGAAGAGAGCAGCGGGAATATTTTCGTTCTGGTATGTACAGCTATTGCTGAAAATGTTTTCTTTTCAATGTTTTTACTTCATTCATTGTTTTTGTGCTATCTCAGTGCCTTATTTAGAAAACTGGAGGTCTGTATAAAGTTTATGACAGTAGTCATTTCCAGTTTTTATTTATTTTCTTTTTTTCCAGTATATGCCAGTGATGCAAATTACATTTCGCGTAAAATGCATTTCTTATAACGCATCTCCCGGGAAATAATTTTATGATTCGTTATTTTTCATTCTAAATTATTTACACAAAAAAGAACATTTCATCCTTTTGCGCATTTTGCTTTCATGCTTGCAATTTAGTATATGTTAAATAAAATATAAACCTTTTAAAATGGAATCGTGTTTTTCATTTTCCTTCTACGGAATAAAGGAAGTATTGTAATCGTAAAAAATTTCGGATATTATATTTGAAACAAGATATCCATTTTGACCGTTCTCGAATTCATTTGAATTATGTTTTTGCATGACATCTATACGTACGGACCGAATAAAGGACTCTTTTTACCAAAACGGATTATAAAGCGGATTTAAAATGGATTCAGAAGAAACTTTTCGCGACGTTTGTACGTACGTACGTGTGCATCTTGCATAACTCAAAAACGAGTAAATTGATTCAGAAAAGATTTTTTCGTGACGTCTGTACGTACGTATGTACGTATGTATACGTTTCACATAACTCAAAAACAGTTAGCCTCAGAACGGAAGCACTTTGTATATGGAACTGATATAATATGTAGATATGCACCTCCCTTTTTGGTTGCAAACGGCCACACCAAAGGTATATAAATATATGTATAATTACAAACTGTGAAAAATTAGTTCTAAATTTCTTAAGTATATATATATATATATATATATATATATATATATACCCACTCTGTTACCCGATGTTAGTAAATTGCGCAGTTTTTGCTTTAAAAGTGATGGAATTATATTGTTCTTATGTCCCGATTAAGGTTTTTAACCTACAATTATAATTATTGCATGCAATAATTGTAGAATTATTAACATTTTAAAAGTGCCACTAAGCCTAACGAGACCACCATTTGTCTACATTTGAAATTCTTAGTAGAACGGTGAATTAAGGCAGCCGGCGCCCCAACTTCAGCGTGTTTTCGCCCAGTGGGATCAAAAGTTAACTTTCAATCACGTGCACCGAAAATAATGTCTTTCTGCCCGTTGGCCGAATTGCTTGTTTTGGCGTACAAATGTAAAACTTGTTTTTAAAACTGTTTTTAACTATATTTGGTGTTACAGGTTTTTTTAAATTTATTATTATTATTATTATTTATTATTATTATTATTTTGCAATTTTTAATGAAGACGTTTTGAATTTTAATGTATTTTTGCCTGTCTGCAAAGTGAGAATTGAAATAATTGAATGAGAAATATATCTCTAATGAAATGTGAGGAATTAAGTTTAAATGAAATGCAGCAAAGGATATGTATAATTTAATAAGTCGTGCAACGAACTGTAATGCAACATGTGATGTCCACAACAAAATTTTTTTAACTGGTTTTGGTTTAATCATGATGTTAGGTCAACCATGGATGTTGCATCCGGTATAACCCCGGTAATTGAGTACAAATAGACTTCATTATAAGTAATGAATTTAAATCGTTATGCGAAATTTTCTGGGTATTTACGTATTGTCGCAACCACCTTAGTAGAAGTCGCCAAATTCTGTAACCATATGCATAACAGTTCTTCAGGTAGCCATATTCAGGTAGCCTCACCGAATCAGCTTTTATTTTTCTGTAAATTCGCCTAACTACATGAAGGTGGATGCACTAATACGGAAGTACCATTTTCTGTTCTGTGTTCCTACAGCAAATAATTTAATGCTTTTGGTGCTAAAAGACTTTATGAAAAAGGAAATAACGAAATTTAAGTTTTTACACTGATAATTTTTTTTTAATGAGTAACTACTAACAGGTGATTTCAATGACCCATCGAATATTAATAAGAATGACTACTACGTTTTCAAAAGTTTGCGCTAAAGCCTTGTATTTATAACTGCAAACAACTGTAAGTTCTGTTACTTAGAAGGAAGGCTTTTGTCAAGATATGCTCATGTCATACGTGGGGAAAAACTACGAAAACTTCAAAGAATCGACTCTTTCAACAGCCGAATCCTAGCTTCAAAGAACTATCTTCATTAGTGTTTAAATGTCGTTTTATTAATCTCCAGTTTATTATACATATGCATCTGTTGTTGTGCTCAATCTCACTTTTCTGACCTAATCAGAGAAAGCCCACGAATTTTATCGTGGCGAGGAGTACACGATTGCATCTGTCATTGACAAGCAGCCATATATCCGTCTTCAACATTGTAGAGACGTTAGGTAGTTGGAAAAGCCGGAGAGATGAAATATTAGCAAACGCCTTCGCCGGGAATCGAACCACGGACCTCTGGTATACCGGCCCAGCGTGCAGAACCACTACCATGAAGGCACGCTAGGAAGGTGGGAGAAATACCTCATATACTCCCCCTTTTAAAGGGCGACTGGGACTTTTAGGGGACACAATCGCCAATTTTGGGTGCGGAGAATCATCATCCATAACCCTTTTAGTTCGGGCGCCACTGTAGAGACATTAAGATTTTTCTGGAGGGCGGAGAAATGAAAAATGAGCAAACGCCTTCGCCGGGAATCGAACCATGGACCTCTGGTTAGGTTATTTAATTACGGCAAAGCCTAGAAGGCTATCTGCCTAAGGGGAGGGATGCCTTCGTGGAGGACTTTCTAAATGGAACTGTCTCGTATACACGTTACACATGGGGAAAATCACGAAAACACCCATGCAGCCAGCCCGTTCGCGGGATTCGAATCTCGGATCGAACTACCAGTGTTCAGTGTACTTTACCGCTCGGCCGCTGGTGGGCCCCACGGACCTCTGGAATACCGGCCCATGGTGCAGAACCACTACACCACGAAGACATGCTAGGAAGGCGGGAGAAATACCTTATAACAAAATGTTCTTAACCGCATAGCTTCATTAATTTATGAGCGAGTTTTTTTCACTTTTTCAGCTCTGAAGTTTGATTATACTTCATATAAATAGATTCCTCCTCTCTTCCTTGCAAAATATCGGTATACTGAAAATGCTGACCTTAAGAAACTACTAAATGAAACGTAGAAAAAGTTACTGTTCATAAGTCAAAAAGAGGTCAGTGTTGTACAATAAGAAGTGACATTTTGATCGAAATGGTGGATAATGTGTGGATTCTGATCACTGGTGAAACAGGTGCCGTCTAGAAAAGCTAGAAACTGCATAAAGGACCGTACAACTAAACACTATTTTTAACGTATATCCATAGGCAGTACCTATTGATCTCCTTTCGAAAGATATGGTGAAATACAGACGAAATACTTGCCCCTTTACTGATGAAATCTTAAATCTGAGAGGCATAATCAAGGTCTTCTAATATTCTATGATTCTAGAACTTGAGGCGCCGAAGGATTCTCGAACTTTCCTTCTGAAACAGACTTTTGCGTAATGCAGCTGAAGCAACTTTCATGGGCTTTATTTCGAATTCGAATGTTCTGCTAACCTGCTTGGCCTCAAACGAGTTTTTTGGACGGCATCTGGGAGGAAACTTCTGGAAATATTGTAAAGATCTTTAGAAATAGGTTTTTCCCGTCCATTTATATTTCAATTAAAATTAATATGCAGGACAGACTACTTCGCTTGTCCATAATTTTGTATGTTGTTAGCTTTCTAATGCTGGCTTAGGTATTTTATAAAGTAATCTTTTATTTTCTTTTACATTTTTCCCAAGGAAAAGTGCAGTCAACTTCCGATTTAGCAGGTTTATGCGGAAGACTCCCATGGTTAGTTCAAGTATAGTTACAAAACACAAGTAAAAATGAATAAACCGTATTATAATTAGAGGGAAAATGCTATTAACAATTTATCTGTATTTCCGAACAATTCAAGTTTGGATCGTTTGGTCACGTAAATTAAATCGGTATTCAAAACAAAATACCTGCGGCAAAAAACGGAAGAATAACCATTACTAGAAATGAAAAAATTGAGTTAAAAATAGCATTAACGAGTTATATTTAGAAAAGAACTTGAGAACAAACAAAACAAACTTTGCATTGAATTCAAAATTGCGTCAGATGTCAGAGCTTTTTGTTTCTTTATTGCAGAATGATCATATACTGCGGATTATGTATAATTAAATTACATACTGTTGCGGATAAAAATTTTAATACAATTAGTTCTTTCTACTTTCATTGCTATTATTCTAGGCACTTTTATTTTCTTTTTTGTATTTTCCGTAAACACGTTTGTTTTACGGTGTTTTTTGATAGTAAGTTCCCTATCGTTCCGCAATAAAAAAAGAAAAAAAAAATTAGACGGATATCGGTTAATCAGTAACCGGTAAATGAACATTGATTATAAAAGAAAATTCGTTTAACTTTTATAGCAAAATATTTTATTAATATTCGCACTTAACTGATATAATCGTTACAAGGTCGTATCAAAACTAGATTTCTTAGCTACTGAAATGCATAAGAATTAGTTTTTCAAGGCTTGAATTTTCAAAAAAATTTTATGAGCATTTTATGGACAATGAAAACTTCCACTGATACCAATTGGCTTGGCTAAATAGCTGTCTTTTTTTGTACGAAGCAAAAGTATTTCAGAGAAAGTTCATTGCCGATGTTTATGATGAGGAAAGTTTGGTTTGGTTTAGTTTATTATGGCAAAGCACACTAGGGCTATCTGCATTAAGGCGATGCATGCCTTCGTGGAGTACTTTCTAAAAGGAACTGGTTCGTATACACGTTAGACAAGATAAAAACCCTCAGAACGCCCATGCAGCCTGTCCGTTTGCCTGGATTCGAATCCAGGCGAGAATGGATGCTGTCCTGCTGCCCAATCGGGAAAGTGGTTAGTAACTCTGGCTGCCGTACCAAAGAGCCCAGGTTTGAAGCCCGGAGAAGGCATGGATGTTTGTAAATGTATCGTG